GTGTGAATGATCTGGTCGTTAGAGAGCATCGAAGTATCTTTGCTTTCTTCTCTTTCTTCACAAAGTGCAATTAGAGCGTCTGTAATGTCCCGGATACGGTTCTGCAAACACAGATAACTTTACTCCTTCTAACATCAAGCAGCTGTCACTGCTCAAATATAAAGTTATCTACTTTAACTGCCAGCTTGCTTTAAACCTTAAAAGTAATTAGGGAAGGGACAGTAATCAATTGTGGTAAGACGCGTGTCTTCCAGTAGAGTTGCTAATTCCTAATTAGAGTGCGTGCGAACATTTTAGCCATCTCTGCACAAGAACAAAAAAGGTCCATCACATGGAACTTGTTAGTTATTTTTTTGGCTACAGTTACGATCATAGCTACCAATGTATGAGTTCAATGTCAGATTAAAGAGCCGGGATGCAAATTAGTGGCACAGATCTAAAGAAAACAACACCAACAGACACATTATTTACAACATAAGGCTGTGGCGACATCTATTAAAGGTCACTGTGCAAAAGATCAGTTAAAGTTAAGATAATACAAAAAATATATTAATAAATTGCAATATTCACAAATCATTAAGAAGCCTGGTTGCTGATTATTATGAAACTGAAGTTTATGTCAGTAAGTCATGTACAAAAATGAAATAAAGAGAACGTAAGTAAACAGTGATTATATGGCACAGATTGTACTGTCATTTTTCCCCATTCAAACTAAATTCTTGCCTACATGTAAGTCTGCATACTTAATTACCTTATCAAAGGTGTCAATGTGTTCCTCAATGTTCTGCTCCATGAATCTGTTCATCCTGCGAACGTACTGGACTATCTTTCTCAGAGATGGACTCGGAAAGTAGCGAAACACGGGGAAGAAATCAGCCTGGTTCCCCGCTGCAAAGAGCTTCAGGACCTCGTTGTTGACATCAACAATAGTGAGAAACTCCTTATCACTGTAGTCATACCGTTTCCCAAAACAGAGCGCACAAACGACATTTGCCACTGAGGTTACCAAGGTCGTCGCTGGGTCTATACCCTCCGTTTCCTCTTTAGCAGCTTTTTCTCGAATCACCTGCACCATCCCTGCAGCCTCTGCACATATGTGCTCCTCTAAGAGGCAGGTGGCACCAAAACCCCTTGGCTCAGCCTGGGAGAAAGACCGGAGGGCATTCTTACACAGCTTCTTATGGAGCAGCCACACAGGCCCGTAGTTCTCATTGAAAGTCATGCTGCTCCCATTGGCTATAGCAGAGAAGATGAAAAGGTTAGGTCGCCCCGCAAAAGCTTCCCCGTGTCGAACCAGAGCCTGCCTGATGGTGTTGTACCCACTCAGAACGACAACAGTCAAAGAGCCAAGGCGGAGCTGGATTCATGACACAAACAGATAAATTAACTCATGCTCACTCTGTTGATCTGAAACTAATAATACAAAAACTATATATAACTATATGTACCTTGAAGATGTCTCCATACTGAAGCCTCAACCCAGTTAGAGAGAGATGAATCTGATCCCCGACCTGGAGCAGATTCCCGACAAGGGGCCACGGTTTGGGGCCAGGAGGTGGGGGGTATTTTGTGTGGTCCAGCTGGGAGTCAAGATGGAAGTGGAAGAAGGATCTCTTACTCTTTCGACCCCAGATAACCATCAGGAGGAGGGTTAGAAGACAGAGTGCAACAGTTACACTAGATAGAGAGCCAAATAAGTTCTCCTTGATTGGCAGAATCCCAAACAGCAGCGGCCTCATGTTGCAAGTAGAAATACTGAGAGATAAGAGAGATAAAGGTGAAAGTGAAGAAACAAAACAAAAAAAAACAGATTTATCCTTGAAAGGGAGAAAACAGATCCTTGTTAAAAGAAAAGAAAATGTGCCTCATACTGTGTCCTGTAAAAACCAAACAAGGAAAGAATATAAAAAAAAATAAAGAAATGATAAGAAAGCCATACAGTAAGATAAACTCACCATACAGTGCCCTCGGAAATTTGGCGGAGAAAAAAATTTACAGCTCAATTTAGACAGCAAAGAGCAGACACCAAAATATTAGGTAGTCAGACGTTTGAGGTCTGACCCTTGGGAACTTGTGATGAGAGTGGCTTGCATTACGGGATGTCCCATGCAGCAACAGCAGCCAGGCCCCCTGCAGAGGGAGCTGCCGCCCATTCACAAAAGAGAGGCACACATAGTGAGAAACTTGGCTCAGGGTTTTGGATGAGTCCGACTGAGCCAGCCAGAGGACTGCATCAGCCAATTTAACCACAGACTGGAACCTTACACAGCATGGGCTCCTCCTCGCCAGTTCTTACCTTGACTAGCAAAGGTAAATTGTAAATGGTTTTTATATAGCGCATTTCCTACTCCACTGGAGCAACCAAAGCACTTCATACATGGAGACTGTGTGATGCAGTGCAAAGGCTAAAAATGTTTTTCAAACTCATTATGTGGTATTATTACCAGCTTCCTGGCCCTGACCACCAGAGATGCTTTTAAATAAAAACTTAACACTTATAGAAACAATGTTAGTTGTTAGTTGGATGATTTGTTTATAATTTAATACTGCACTGCCTCTTCAGCTAAAATCGGACTACTTATGTCTTCGCTGTGCATGATTCAGTTCTCTCTTGATGTTTTAGGCTGTAGACTGGAAAATAAACTGCCAGACTAAGGGGGAAAAGTTTCAGCTATTAATTTTGAACCTCCCCACACTCTTGAGAGGACAAATTAGGGCCCCGCTGCCTGTGGACCGATTATCTGGACATAACAGAGTTTCATCATCAACAAGGAGCCACCAGATTGAGGATCACTGCTCTTCAGAACCAGTAGTATCAGAGTGAAATGAAATGTATGGAGTGTATTAGGAAATCCATGTGCAACTGCATGTATTCCAATCCTCTGTCAAAGAAACGAGACGCGGTGTAATGGGTGATTGCCCTGAAAGCAAAGAGAGAGACCACATCACTCTGGTCCTCTGCTCTCTCCACTGGCTCCCAGTTGCTTTTAGGATTGATTTTAAAATTTTACTGCTGGTTTTTAAGGTTCTTAA